CTATGAGCACGAGAGCCATGACGTGCAGGGGCAACGAGCCATCAACCAAACAAATCGACTCAACTCTTCTTCTGCTTATGACTTGTGATTACTGCGTTAGTAAACCGAAATTGCTTCGGACAGCATTTCTAAATGATAGTTGATAGTTTAGTGACATAAGTTAATGGGATACATTAAAACGAGGTTAGTTTATTATTAAAAATATTTTTTTTTTTTAATTTCAATAATCACTACAACTGCTAAATTATTAACATTAAGTAATATTGATCAATATTTTGATCAATATTTATGATTATGAGATTGATCAATATTTATCGATAAATAATAACATAAATTTAAATAAATAAAAGTGCAAAGGATAAAATTTACATGAAAATAACATTAATATCCGTAATATGATTTAATATAAAAAATAAGCAAATAATAATAAAAATAAAATTTTTAAATTTTTAATAAGGAAATACTAAGATAATAATAATAATAATAATAATAATAATAATAATAATAATAATAATAATAATAATAATAATAGTAATAATAATAATAATTATTATTAAAAATATGATTTATTATTTGCAAATGATTCGTGATGTTCAGTCATTACTTTTAATTTTGCAATTATCATTATAGTTATTGTTTTAAATTTGTTTAAGTGAACAAGTTTATATAGAGAATATGTATAATGACTATAAGTTATCTGATATATAAATCGTATCAGGTAAGTTATAATTTGTTGAGTTTACACTTATACAAATAGAGCTATATGCAGTGGTTTCCAATCTTTCATACCACGCTTTCCCCTCCCCCTTGGGTTTTTAAAAAAGTTGGTGCGCCTTCGTTAATTTTTCTAATAATTTAATGTCATAAATGCTCAACTTAATCATTAACTTCCGGTAGGGTAAGTTATAGTAATCGCAAAAAATTGAAAATGCAAAATTTATATTTATCTTTACGTTTCAAAGGCTGCTGAACATTTTGGCATGTCTTAGAAAAAATGTATTTGTGTGTGTGCGCGAATGTGTGTGTGTGTGCAAATACAAATTTTTGTCGACGATTTCAAGAACACGGATGAATCAATTTGAAGCATTCAAAAAACATTCGATTCCTATGAGTGAGGAGACATGCTGATTAGTTTTCGGAAAGCCTAGCTGTTTTGAAGATACGTGGCAAAAAAGACATATTCTAATTCAGATTTTAAGAGAACGGAGCGTCCAATTGGAATAATTTAAAAAACATTTTATTTGTATTGACAAAATGAGGGAGCGTCTTTTAATCACTTGAGCGATTTTTTAAGGATTTTTACAACCCTCCTCCCTCTTTAAAACTGATATTCAAAAACACCACCCTCCCCCACCAAACATCACGTATTTTACGTATTTTTAGTTACGAGAAAAAATTGTAAAATTTTTGATTTTTTTTTAAATGTTTGTTTTTTTTAAATTCAGGTAAAAAATAAATACACGTGATATCTTACTATACACCTCTCCCCCCACGCAATTTTTTGTGATTTTTTGTCAAACCACCCCCCCCTCCCCTAGAAACCTCACGTGACTAATGGACGCCACCTAAAGCGCCGTTTAAATTTTTGCGATAGCAGATCTAGCGGTTTCAGATATCTAGTAATATTATCAGATATTTTATAGAGATTTTAATAACAAGTATGAATTTTGTTTACATTTCTATGGGTTCCTCCGTACCAATGCTCATCCATTAGACTGCAATGCGGCGCTTACGCGCTTCGATATTTCCTTTATAAAACAGCCACGCAGCACGATTGCTTTGCAACAATATTCAATTTTTTCAGAAAAATTCAATGTATAAAAAAAGTTTTGAAATTCTCAAAAATCTGTTTTTTTTCAGTTTTCAAAAATTTTAAAGGTTTTTCTACTTAAGACACGAGGCCATGCACCACTAGTTTTTTTATATAATTTCAACATTTTTCGTTTAGTTTCGAAATTCTACTTTGTGATCAGGTAAAACTTATACCAAGCCCCTCAGCGTGGCACGCCCCATTGGTTGGAAACCGCGGACTTAAAAAAATTCTATGATCTGTTGTGATGATACGTTCTTAACTATAGTAGTGAATATACTGCATTATGACTTATTTTAGAAGGCAACCCAGCGGTTGACCTAATTATATTTGATGTATTCTTCTTTTTCCAAAAAAGAGGTTTATGTCCTTGCCAGAAAATCCAACATGCTGATTTTATAGCAATCACACGGTTTCAAGTCATTCTGAATCGTTTAAGACCAAATGTGTATAGTAAGTATGTAAGTATGTATGTATCCGCGGTATTTAACCCGTGGGTCGCATCTCCCTAAGGGGCCACATTCGATTCCAAATTCAATTTTCTAAAATAAACTAAAAATTTTGAAATCAAATAAAAAATTATGAATAAATAACTAATTTTTATGTATATTTTTACAAAATATTGCATATTAATTAGTAGCCTGACAATTAAATTATAATTCAGTTGAGTATTTATAAAATTAGATTATTATCAAAATTAAGGAAGGCGCAATAGCTTTTTTTTTAAAACACTGGCGGGGAGAAGGAACGATACAAAAAGTTGCTAATTACTGATGTATAAAATGTATATGTGAGTAGATTTTTCATCTTTCAACGACATAATAACGAAAATAATAATTTCGCTTTCACTAAATATAAATCTTGTGATTTCCAATCAATGTCTTTCAAACATACTTATAATATCTGTTATGGTAATTGAATAATATCTAATAATAATTGTATAAACCTGTATAACCTCATATGAACAAATCACGAAACGCATAGATTCTGATCAGAAAGAATAACATCAGCGCGCGGCGAAGTCCTAAACTTTGATGATTTGTTATAGTTCAACCGTCTATCATAATCGTATCATAGGCCTACAATATTTTAGTATGTTATTTAGTAGACTGGGAACTCTATTATTCAAAGATTCATCAAAGTCGTAAAAAAATAGTTAAAAGTTAAAGCCAATAAAAAAGTTAAAGCCATTTGATACAATCCAATAAGGACTCTGATTAGTTTTATGCGAGTCGAACCTTTTCTTTAGACTTACCAGAAAATGGTAATCCTGAGTGGATCGATTTTGAATATTTAAAAACCGATTGAAAGATACCAGTTGGAAATCGTGCTGATTAGTTTTTGGCAATGATCGTAATAGATGTCAAAAAAAAAAAAAATTGTTGCATGTTTAACACATTCACGCCGGGGCTGATTTTGGTATGTTTAGCTGTGAGACGGCGCGTGGTTATTGCCTTCGAAATGCTGTTCACCGGTAGCCCGACCCGCCCTGTAGATTGCAGAACACTCTCGTTCTGGTCTGCGGTGGCACACGCCGGCGTGAACGTGTTAAATGAACTTACAGTGGTGATAGAGATCATGGTCTAACTAAATCTAACCTATTATCCCAAAATATTATAGTTGAAAAGTGGTTGGATTATAAAAAATCATTAAAATTGGATTAATAGGCAAAGTTTTTAGGATATACCAGATGATGTTTGTGTACTATAGTTAGTTCAATTTTAGATATTTCAAAGAAAATGCCATTTACATCTAGTTATTATTAGATTTTCTGTAATACTGATTACTCTTTAAATTGATGCATCATTTCCTGAGAAGGGCTATTTTCACTTGGAAATAATTTACCATCTGCAATAACTTCAAAATTTTATTCAATTTATATATTAATACAAACAGTACCAAGTGAAACCACAAATATTGTTGTTTTTGGACTTTTCGAAAATTATTTGATTAATATGCCAATTTGTTTGTTTTTGTAACTGGTGTAATCCAGTACTTTCCAAACTTTTTGTACCCGAGTTTTAGAGTCATTATTGCTTTTTCATTTACACATATGTTTCATTTTTATTATTGTTTATCATTATTTTTATTGTTGGTATTCTTGTCGTTATTAATTTTATTTTTATCACTTTTTATGTTTCCTATTTTTTGCTTCCTTTATGTTTCTTCTTTGCAAAATGATTGGCGATTACTTGATTAGAAATATAAAAATATTTTTAAAGTTATTAAGGTTTGAAGTAATTTCAACGTATAATTTTCAATGTTATATATACTAAGTAGATATAATATTTACTAGATGTATATTAATTATAAATATACGTCTAGTAAATATAATAAAGAAAATAACGAATAAATAAATGAAAATAAGTAGAAATTATCAGCAACTCTGACTTAAGGGCCGAAGCTGCCGCACAACAGATCATTGTTATGGAAGGCCATGTTATGCTCAAACGTGCATACATTATGCCATAGATAAATAAACATAATGCATTATGCTACTGAATTCTACTGAATACTGTCAAAATGTCATGTATTTGCTGTGCATAAACTGCAACGTCACTTGTATGTTATGAAGCGGAGTTAGAAAGACCCTGTTATCTGAGATCGTTTTTTTGACATTTGTGCGGTTTCTAGGTTAGGTGTTCTATCTGACAACCTGAGAAAAACGCCTTACTGCACAGCAATCACACGGTTTTTGACAATATTTAGAACGATTTTGTATAGTAAGTTCTTCATAACATAGTCTTGCTATAACATTGATCTGTTATGAGGAAGAATCGGCCCATTAAATAAAAAATGTAATAAAATTACAGTAAAAAATAGGTGCGAAATATATGAAACCAACGAGAGTTTAGAGAGGGTATTAAGGGAAGACTTTAATAAAGATTGTTTTGTGCGTTTTTAGAATTGTTAGACTAATAATATTATTAGTCTAACAATTCTAAAAAAAATTAATCAATCAATCCATAATTGATTGATTGATTATTTTTTTTGATCACACAATTAATTTTGTTGAAACATTATTTTTGTAAACCCATTAACTTAAAAAAATAGTATTTCAATCTATAAATTGTATATAAATGTATAATCGTATTCGAATAAATAAATAATTTTTATTTTCTAGGTGAGACACACTGACTTCTCAGAAAAGACTTAATATATTATAGAAATAACTTTAACGTTGAATGAAATGATGCAACGTATAAGATGGAACAAACAGCGTGCTGGAATTGCTGCTTTAAGTTTATTGCTGCTTTATCTGGGTCTGACAGCAAGAACAATGACATTTAAATATTCGCGCGTCGTTGATGCCAAACCGAAGTTGGTATGGGATTACGTTGCTGACTTCAGTAACATCAAGAAAATCAATCCAAGCATGTGAGTTTGAAAATGACACTTGTTGATTTGTTTATGTTTTGACTATTTTTGATATTTTGTTTAACAAAATGATCCCGCCGTTGTTTGCTGCGATACTTTATCTAATTATAGTTGGTGTAATTTTTTATTTGTTATTCAAAATATAAGTATGGAAATTCATAACTTGTTCGTTTTGGATTATTCACAAGTCATGTTTAGCAACAAAATTACTTCGACGGTAATCACAAACAAAAGAAACTATTCGATGGGCAACTAAGTAAGAGCGGATTTTTGTTAGAAAATCAAAGACATTTTATGTATGGAACTAAATCACTTTATTCTGTAATGTATTGTGTATTTTGCTCAACGTTTCCACTTTCCCAAAAAACTGAAATAGGTACAATTTGATACTATAATAATCATTTAATTGTTAACTTTTCAAGAAGTTTTGTAGAGGTCCAAATCGAGAGAGTAAAGGTTATGAATATCTGAGCGATGTGGCAAAATATTCCAACCAAACTCCAATCATTTTTACAGAGTGGTCAAAGAGCTCAATAATGGAATAAATCACCACATTAATTTGTCAATTCAGACTGCTTATCTTGAACTACTTTGTTTTATTCCAAAAGCTGTTCAATGTAGACATTAGAATTGATTGTTCGGTTGGGTGGTAAGAGTAAAAATAGATAATTTGTTTGCAATCAATTTCAACTGGACGACCAGAGTGCTCTTCATCTTTGAGTAAATCATTACCAGAACAAAATTTGGCAAACTAATTTTGATACTGCCATTCTTTTAAGGTTTTGTCACTATAAACATCTTATGGCATCCTCCTGACATCTCGCAATAATTGTACAAACGACATGAACAATAGTACTATGGAAGTGTGGTCCATATTTTTTATACCAGAATTGTTGCAAATTGTAGACAATAATAAATTCCATGAAATATTATTTATATTTGGTTTATTTTACGTAAGATTAATATCGACGACACTATGTGTTATCATATTGATCGTTTATAAAATGTGATTGGTGTTTTTGTATTTACAATTGAAAAGAAAAAGTTTCAAGAATTATAAATTTTGGCAAATTCGACTAGGGAGAAACAAAAGCGAGATCAGATCTGACACTTGAATTTATTTTGTTTTCTCCGTGCTGTCACTATATGAGTCTATCTGTCCAGTAGAAATGCGGTACGTGTTGACAGGCCGCTACAGTACCATTGTCTTATGTTTTCCAGTCTATCAAGAGTCAAATACCTCATAATTAAGATTTAAGCATGTGTTTCTTTCTTCGTGGGAGTCACCAGATGGTTGCTCTATATATTATTTTATATTAATGAGTGAAACACTTCTTAATGTGTATAAGTATTTAATTTAATCAGAAATATAAAGTTACGCTTGAGGTATATTGACTCTTTTTAGAACGGAGAAAAACAAAAGGCGGTGAGATTGCATAGTTCACTTTAAGAAGTTTGTTCAATTATGGCTAGATGTTAGGAGGACACCATAATCTCATAACTTTTTGTGAGCTTGAGATGCCTTTTTGCCTTCGCAAAAATAAAAAAGTAAAACATGACAATTTTTTATTTCATTTTCTATCTTTTAACAATCTCTAAACAATCGATTAAAAAAACTCTTTTATATATACTGATTGACGACTAAATTGCCTACTATCCAATAACAAAAGATATTTTACATTTGGACTTATATCAGCACAATTAAAAATTCAATTTAAACCATGGAAGACTGAAAGCCGCATTTACTTCATTGCCAAATCGATATTTTCAATACACTATTCTGAATTATCTAAGTTTAGGCCTATAATTCATATAATTTTTGATCACTATTGATTCAAAGGCTACAAATTTCATTTAATTTAAAATTCCAATTTGCGAACAAAAAACTTATTGATTTACTTTAAAGTGTAACTTAATATAATATAATGAACACATTTAAAGATATAAAAAAAACTTCATTCTTATATATATTAATTATGTTCTATGAAGATTTTTATAAAAACTATAATACTATTAGAAATAACATTAGTTTTCTCAAAGTTTAAAAAAAATATTCATTTAATAATTGTGTGAACAGCATTTGTTATTTTTGTTAATTTTGAATATAAATAATTATATGTATGCAAAAATATGTAGAATTAAGTAATTAGGTATTAGTCTTAATTTTATAACAATAGCTGTCTAACGAATATAATATTTTGAGTTTGGCTAATATTGATAATGAAAACCTATTATCTTTATCATTAATAAGTTACATGTAACAATGGCATTTATATTCCCATGTTTATCAGTTTTCATTTATTCATATTATTGTATGTTTCAGTTTAGATTTTTCTATCATTGATGAAAGTGGTACATATGATAAATGGAGCTATTCAGTTACATATACGGAAAGATTGTCTCAGTGGCCTTATCTTTACAATGTGGGGCATGGGCATTTTTCAGTGAGGCCTATCAATGAAAAAGTACACAGTTATATTATAGAATCAAAGCACAATACTTGCTTCTTTAGTGGATTTTTATGTTGTAAGTGTAACATAAAAAATTGAAAAGATTAGAGTATTGAAATAGCTTACTAATAATATTTAATCTGTATATTTAATATTTAAAACTCATTAACAGATAAAACAGTGAGTGATATGACATTCAAACCCACAGTCGATGGAAAGACTACTTGTGAAGAAACTGTACAATATCAGTGCCCGGGTTTATTTGCATTATTTTGTAAATCTGAGGTAAGCTATCAAAGGACTGCGATTATGAATAATTTAAGAAATCATTTTACATGGAAACATTAATTGTAATTTGTTTTTTAAATAAAAATCTATTTTTCAATTAAAGTTTTATTACCTGTTCATGAACCTTAGATGTATCAACAGAATAATATTTTTAATTTAAAACCTATCACCAATTAAAATCTGGTGTAAAGTTCAGGTTCATGGTTGTTGGTGTAAATGTAATTTTACAAACACTTTATATAGGCAATTTTGATAAACAATTAACTTTTTATTTTCAATTCTTACGAATTATAAAAAATGTATTCAAAGTACCACCTTCATCATTAATAATACCACCGCTGAAAATATGTGCTGCCTTATTGTAATTTACTTCAGAGCATATAAATTTTGGGAAGTAACCAAAGTAGTATGTGCTACTCTTCGAAATGTGAAATCTGTACTCCCTTAGTTTCTCATGGAGGTGAGTATCGGCAACCGCAAAGCTCCAAACATAGCCAAATTGACAATAGTTTATACCAATTGTGATTATTGTCTCTTGAAAGTGTATCTGACCTGAGCAATAGGAAGATTACCTTATATTCTTACTCTGTTTGCAAGCAAGTTTAATTTTTGATTTTATTCATAATCTATATGACTGGGAATGAATATGTTGTTGCTTCCTCCTCAGCTCTCTTGGACATTTATTAGTTTCTCGGCTCATTTTAACTGCGGCGCCCAGAAGTTCCATCCAACAAACACTTAAGTCAAGTTCCATTTGGCAAATTTGAGTATTCAACTTATTCTTTGCCACCAACTCCTTGCACTTGGTGTATTCGGTGCATTCTTCAAACCTTGAACTTGCACCTAGAGTTAAGTAATATATAACATCATGGAAATATTGAGTTATATTGTTAATCATTATTATCAATTATATCAATATAACTAATTGACTGACGCATTGGTCATAAATAAAGACGTAATAGTGCAAGGGAATTTACTATTTCTAGTATTTTTTGCAATATTCTAATAAGAATTCGAAATGAACATCAATAATATGCATTTTTATCATATTTTTACAAGAAAACTTGTATGATTTTTTGTTCATTGATTTCTCGTAGGGTTAATTATAATAATTTAAAAAAAATCGAATATGAACATTTTACAAATCTTTACACTTGAAAGGTTTCTGAAAATTTTGAAATATCTTTGAAAAAATTGATGTATGATGTGTGTGTGTTCGGATACAAATTTTCGTCGACGATTTCGACGAACACAGATTAAGGATTTGAATAATTCAAGAAACATTCCATTCGTTTTGTTGGGGAGACGCGTTGATTAGTTTTTGGCACAGGCAGGTCCAGCCGTTTCGAAGATAATGGACAAAAAGTGTTAAAAATAGTAACTCTATTTTTGAGATAACGGAGAGTTCGATTTAAATGAATCAAAGAACATTTTATTTGTATTGACGAAATAAACAACTGATTAAATTTGTGGAAAGGCAGGACCAGCGGTTTTGGAAAGCCAATAAAAAAAAGTAACTAGTGGGGCGCATGGCATTGTGCCTTAAGGCAAATTGCTGGAACTTCCCGTCCCAAAAATTATTTTTTTTTAAAAGATTAACATTTTTGAAAAAAATTTACTCTGAAAAATTAGATTTTTAAAGAAAAGTGTATTTTGAAATATTTTGAAAATTCTGAACTTTTTTTCAAAGCAATCGTACTGCTTTGACTGCATAGAGACGAAATATCAAAGCGCGTAAGCGCCGCGCCGACGTCCAACGGATAAGCATTGGTACTGAACCTATAGGAATGTAAACAAAATTTATACTTATTGTTGAAATGTCTATAAAATATCTAATAATTTGATGCGCATATGTCTAATGATCATTTTTGACCGCCATATGGTATATTTTTTTACTTTTTTCACTAGATCTCCGAAACCGCTTGTTAATACAAGTAAAATGTTTTTTGAATTATTCAAATCGGACGCTCCGTTCTCTTAAAAACCGAGTTACCTTTTTGAAACCGCTAGACCTGCCTTTGCCAAAAACTAATCAGCACCTTCTCCTTATCAATACGAATCGAATGTTTTTTGAATTATTTAAATCTTCATCCGTGTTCCCGAAATCGTCGACGAAAATTTGTATACACACACGCACACACACACACACATACATAATTTTTTCTAAGGTATGCCAAAATATTCAGAAACCTCTGAAACGTAAGGATATAAAAATTCTCATTTTCGATATTTTTGCGATTACTATAACTTACCATACGGGAAGTTAAAAAAGCCATTTAGCGTTCATCATCATTAGACATATGTACAACAAATTATCAGATAATTCATAAAAATTTGAATAATAAGTACAAGTTTTGTTTATATTTCTGTTATAAGTCTCTAAAACAGCTACGCAGCGCAATTGCTTTGAAAGAAAATTCAAATTCAAATTCAAATAAATTTTTTGTTTAACTGTTGAAAAACTTTTGTTTCTAAATGTTGGTCGGTCGTTTTTCTGACATTTTATTACCTAGGTTGGTACATTGCTCCAATGTGTTTCAACTGTCATCTAGCACTTTCATGAAGTGCGTCGACCCCTACGATTTTTCTTTTCGAATGAATGCGGATCTATTTCAGCTTGGCTCCCATAGATGGAAGGCTAGTAGGCCAGGCGGCCATGTTAGTTTGTCGTCATACAAGCAAATAGGTTGTCATTGATGAGTTTTATATTTTTTTACATGAATTTTTATGTGATTGACTAATATAGAGTGAAATTAAAATATATTATAACAAATATTTTATATCGTTGTCTATCTAAAATTGATTTGTTTTGTGTTTTGACTGGTTAGTGTTCAAGGGTCTAATTCGGAGAGACTTTTTTCATTTATGTGCCTTTATATTAGGTATGTCAAATTTCTAATTTCATAAAGCAATAACTAAATATCATATTGTTGCATATCATATTGTGCAACATTATTTTGAACATTTTGATAGAAATAATTTTGTGTATTAAATGATAAAATTAGTTCTAAAAAAGTTGTTTACTTTGTGACGAACAAATGCCTGCTATTGCGTATATCCTATAAATTTAATTATACTAATGTTTACAATATAGCATGAATTTAATGCGTGAAAAGCTTATGTGTATTCAATCTCTGCTTAAAAAAATGTTATCTAAACTATTGATAACGGTAAACGCTATTTTTACGATTTGGTTTTATATTTTTTAGATCTGTTTAATTTGATTCTTCACGAAGATACATTTTATACAAATATGTATAAAATTACAAATTGTAACAAGATTAGTTTCTCATTCTCAAATATTTGATTACCATTATGACGTATTGTTTAAATAAATAGAGCAAATTAAAAGTCTATGCTTTTATTTGACATGCATAATGTTTGAACAGTTAGAAGAGAGTTGTAAATAATTAAATTATTTTTGTCTACATATACATGTCATGATTTCTTAAATAAACTAGCTGTAAGTGAAATTCTGTCTTAAGGCAATTAAGGCATCGTGCCTTAAGGCAAATTGCTGGAACTTCCCGTGCCAAAAATTATTATTTTTTTAAAAACGATTAACATTTTTGAAAAAATTTTACTTCGAAAAAATAAGATTTTTTGGAAATTTTAAATTGGACGAAAAATTACTTTTTTTTGAAAAAAAAATTTTTTTTTTAAAAAAATTTTTAAACAATTTTTTTATAAAATTTTTTTCTGGAAAAAAATGTTATCTTCATTTTGACATATTTTGGAAGATCTGAACTTTTTTTCAAAGCAATCGTACTTCTTTAACTGCATAGAGACAAAAAAATAAAGCGCGTAAGCGCCGCGTCGCTGTCTAACGGAAAAACATTAGTACGGAACCCATAGGAATGTAAACAAAACTTATACTTATTGTTAAAATCTCAATAAAATATCTGATAATTTGATATGCATATGTCTAATGTCTAATGATTATTGTTGACCGCCATATGTTATTTTTTTTTAGTTTTTTTTACTAGATCTCCGAAACCGCTAGACCTATCTTCATGAAAATTTGATCAAATCTTCATCTTGTTAATACAAGTAAAATGTTTTTTGAACTATACAAATCGGACGCTCCGTTCTCTTAAAAACTGAGTTACCGTTTTTGGCCCTTTTTGCCCCATATCTTCGGAACGGCTAGACCTGCCTTTGACAAAAACTAATCAGCACGTCTCCTTATCAATACGAATCGAATGTTTTTTGAATTATTCAAATTGCTTCATCCGTGTTCCCGAAATCGTCGACGAAAATTTGTATCCGAACACACACACATGCACGCACACACACACACACACATACATCAATTTTCTCCAAGGTATGCCAACATATTCAGAAACCTCTGAAACGTGAAGATATATAAAAATTTTCATTTTCGATTTTTTTGCGATTACTTACCCTATGGAAAGTTAATTATAAATAAATCAATTTATCATCTCCAGAACATTAACAATCGTCATTTCATTTCGAATCAAATTCAAAAAAAAAAAAAAGTTGCCAAATTTACACAAAATTGAAAAAGTGCTCCTGCATAGTCACAGTCTAAACGCATTTGCAAATAATTCTGTGCGACATTTTCACTTATACTGTGCTCAGATTGGCGGCATTTTCACATTTTTCAATAATTTTTCACAAAATTGGAAAAGTGCTCCAGTACACAAAACAGTCTAAACGCACTTGCGTAAGCATTTGTACCAGAGTGGCGCTTAGACTGTGCTTAGCCTGGGTGATTTTTTGAATTTTTAGTCCAAAATTACAAAAAAAAATTTTTGAAAAAAAAATTAAAACAAAAATTTTTTTTTTCCAAAATCAATTATTTTGTTGAAACAAGCAGAAAGTTCTTTGAATCATTTTAATCGGACGCTTAGTTCTCTCAAAAACTGCCATTTTTTTTAAATTTAGCTCTGTATCTCCGAAACCTCTGGGCCTACCTTTGCCAAAAACTAATCAGCACATCTCCCTATTAATAGGAATCGAATGTTTTTTAAACCATTCAAATCGGTTGTTCCGTTCTCTCAAAAACTCGCTTTCAATTTTTTGCACTCTTTGCTCCA